GGATAAGTAAACAAGGAAATATCTAGAACCGAAGCTTCCTATATCTCCTTCTATTTACATTCATCTTCGTTTTCTGAGTAACCTTGTATTTAATTCATAGCATCTATGAGAAAGATATTCAATATGTTAAAAATTATATAGTATTTGGAAAATTATGACAAAAATGCTATTATTCATAAAAATGGGATTTGACTACTTTTCCTTTTGGTGCATTAATATTTAACTGATGTCAGAAATCGCAAATTATAAACAATAATTAAAGCAAATCTTAGACCCATAAACCATGTGCAGTAGCCATAGAGATCATTTAAATAATATGTACCATCATTCAAACAGCAATTTGGCCTTGTATTGAGAGTTCGGGGAGTGGGCATGAGGAACACTATGCTTTTTTTCAAGCCTCTGCAATCTCCTTGTTATTTAATCAAAGAGCAATTGTTTTTGCCCTTAAGTATTCTTTCAGAATGATAGGAAGTTAGGAAATGTTGCCTTGAGCAATTGCTTAGAACAGCAATTTTTGTACCATTTTATGGTTTCAATTTTACCATTAGATAGTCAAGTGTTAAACTGCCCAGTCAAAACAGGCCTAGTTTAAAATGATCTACCTCAGAAAAACACTCTTGATCAAATATTTTCTTTATTCATCCATTCGCTTATATCTCTAAGAGAAGTCATTTTTATTTCTTAAATATCAGTGTTTTGTTACACATGAAGAGTAGATTCTTGTGATTATTTATTCTTCAAAATGTTCATGGAAAGATTTTGTATTATCTTTTAATTCTGTTTTTCCACAAACTTTTTGAAGTACCCTCTTACTAACCAGAATATTCTGCACAGGTAACTTACAAAAATGTTTACAGTATACTAAATTGGAAGCCTATTTCTAATAATGACTGACCATGACAGACTGCAGTATATGGCATTTGCTCTTTCTTGTTGCTATGGGCATAGACTCAAAGACCTGTTCCCACCACGTGTGCACCCAGTATATGCATAGGTATGTGTGTACATATTTATATTATTCTAACCTTGATCTCTTTTTGACTAGTAAAATTAAAAGGATTTTTTCCAATTGGCTAAATGAGGACTTCCTAAATTTAGCTGTGTGTCAAATATATTGATAAAGTAATCTTATAAACCGTTATTGACTTTTAAATTAATATCAAAAGACTTGAAAATATTTATGAAACATTAATTCATTGAATTTCAATGTGCATGTAAGAAGGTTGCCTTGACTTAATTTTATATAAATAAATAAGTATATGTGTAAGGAAATCTACTGAGATGGAGAAAAAATAAAGAAAAATATCTAAAAGAGCTTATCTCCATTAGTGTACTATGACTTGATTTTACTTTATGATTCATACAAAAAGCTGTGATGAGGATATTAGAATATAAATTAATTCCTTTCATTTTAATTTAGAATACACATTTTTCTCAGAAAAATTGTCAGTTGCCTAAAGACAAAGTACATAGATGGAGAATCCAGGAAGCATTAAACTGAGTTTAAGCTCAGTTCCTTCTCCCAAATTAAAAAACCCACTAAGTCATTCTTCCTGCCTTTCTTAGAAACTGAAGGAACAGGTATGATTTTTGCTTGATCCCCAATGTAACAGTGTTAAGAAGGTGGGAAATCCAACTATGGTATTTGAATGGGGCTTTTGGGAGGTGATTAGATTGTGATAACTCTGAAATAATGGATTCATTCATTCATGGATTAATGGGTTAATAATAAATAGGTTATCACAGGAGCAGCACTTGTAGCTTTATAAGGAAAGGAGGAAGCATGCTAGCGCACTCTTGCCATTCTCGCCACGTGATAACCTGTGTCATCTTGGGAGTCTGCAGAGAGTTCCCACCAAGAAGAAGAGCCTCACCAGATACACCTGCTGGGCCTTGGACATCCCAGCCTCCAAAACTGTTTCTTTATAAAATACCCAGTTTCAGGTGTTCTGTTATAAGCAACAGGAAATGGACTAATGAAACAGGTAACCCAGGTTAAGCCAGTCTCCTTCATAGGCAGTCTTAGCACAGTTCACCATGAGAAGACCCTCTAGTCTAACATACAAGATAACTAAATCTACAGACATGTCTTCTCAAGTGGAATATCTTCACAAATTCAGTGCTGCAGCATAACAGAATCAGCTCCATCAGTTTATTCATCCAGTCACTTATGTAATCTCTAGTCCCTTATCCTCAAGATTGGTTATTCTGGTTTTCTTCTATTTCGTGAACAGTTCTTTCTGCCTTTGTCTTATCTCTCCTGAGGAGAAATACATTCTCTCCCCGTGCAGAGTTCCTGCTTGGGCCATAAAGTAACAACATCTGCCCATGCAGAAGTAATGAGAAAAGCACTTCTGCCTTCGTTTCCTTTTCTCCGGGAGGGGTGACATACTCTTGTTTTCTGAAGGGACTAAGCATGCTCAGCTTTGCCCTTCACCACAAGATGCGCATGTTCCCTTCCTCAACAACTGGATATGTGGCCTGTCCCTATAGGTGAAGCCTATGTCCATAGCATTAAGTTCAATGGAGGAGGGAATGTTTGCATTTAGAAAGTCTGTGTGGCCATGAATTTGAGTCATATGATCTCCACTTCAACTTTATTAGCAATAAAGCTAATATTTTTATTTCCTCCTACTTTATCAGTTGGCTTTGAACTTAGTAGAGAAAAAAGATGTGAATATTGCCCCTAAACCATGAAAATTATGTTTTTAATTATCAACTCTGTGTTAATGACTACCAAATATACCAGCTTGGGCCTCTTCATCTTCCTATCCTTATTCCAATGAGACTGACAGTCTTCTCATTATTGTATGCATAGTATACTTTCCTGTATATTATGAGGGGATTCAAGGTAGACTTGGGACATATTCCACTATAACAGAAACTCCATGAAGGGAAGGATTTGTTTATTGCCATTTTCAAGTGCCTGCAATAGAGTATGTGGTATAACAATGTTCAGGCATTGAACATCTACTTATTGAATAAATATAAAAGGATACTTTAAAAAGTTCAATGAAAGATTTGTATTATCTTTCACATCTTTTGAAGTACCCTCATATGTTAGGGATCTACAAATTTGAGTGCCCGCTGTGTGTTGGACACTATTAGCCAGATAATACTAAGTATTTATATTTGTGTAGCGTTCCTAGTTTTCCAAGCATTCTCATTTGATCTTTCCAATGATACTATGTTCACTTTCAAATGTGAGAATTAGCAGTCAAAATGGTAGAGTGATTCACTGTTTTGATAACTAGTGTTGGAGCTTGGCCTCAAATGCAGGTATTGTAACTCTAAGTTCAGAACTTTCTTGATATAAGATGGCACCTCTTACAACAAGGTCAGTGCTTCATTAAATACCTCTACTTTTAATATTCCAATCACTACGGTTTTACTGTACAAGGTACGTAATAGGAATATATCATGTTGAAACCACATGAACTTTAAATCACATGACTAAAGAAACCTTTGATTTTATCTATCTGTTTCAGTATGATCCATTTGAATCAACAGTACTTGATGTGTCTGCTTAGCATGCAGATTCTGAATCCCTATTATAAAACTGACCTACTGATCAGACCCCACGTGTGGGCCAAGGAAGTATTTTTAACAGGCACCCCTTTTGCACACAGAAGTTCAAGATTCACTATTTCACATTGTAAAAACCCTTACACAAAAGCTTGCCAGGTAGTTATGGTGAACTATATATTCCTAAATGTACCTTGTCCTTTTCCAGCTCTTCACTATTGAATTGGATCAATATGGTTTGTTTGTTTCTTTTCTCCCTGTTTTAGAGTTTTGTCTTGTTCTGAGGGAAGTATGGGCATTCTGAGGAACCATAGTTCCTTAATTTCAGGGAAAACATTTTCCCTTTGATAATAGGATTTAACTTCTAAACCGTCTTTTTCATCTTGGTGTTACAGCTGATCAAGGAACTTGGCAGAAAATACTTGGCTTTAATTTTTATAGTTTTTGTATTAGAAGTTTTAAAAGCAAATCCTGAGATTTTTTTTTTTTTTTGGGGGGGGGGGGGACAGTTGGCCAGAAGGAGGTTCCAACCCCTAACCATAGTGTTATAAACACTGTGCTCTAGGCAAATGAGCTAACTGGCCACCCTCTATCCATTCTTAAAGGCATGCTCAAATGGAACTCTACCATCAAGACTTTAATGACTGCCCTCCACTTAAAGGCGTCAACTCTACTTGGTCTACCTGAATTTAATTGTGCTATACTATACCAAATAAAATTGTTACCCACAAGAATATGAGCTTTTCTGGACAACAAGAACTGCACCTGATATATCTTAGTATGCCACTGTAAATGACATTAAATATTTATTTATAAATAAAGGACAATGAACTGCTCCCAGTGACTTAGTGAAAATGAATATTAAATTTCTCTGGGAGATGAAAGTACTGATGGAAACCAAGTGTCTAACATACTACCACTTTCCACAAAGAAACACCTGGCAGTATTTGGCAAATGGCAGATACTCCATGTTTTCTGAGTGGATGGCTTCATTGAAGAATGAACAGTTCATTAAAACATGAACTAGCTGGCAGAATAGAATTAAATTCTTCATAAAAATGCAGTGTTAGCTACCAAGATATTGTACTATAAATAACTTTTAGGCAAAAGTTTTAGACAAAACTTTTGGGTGTTTAGACAAAAACTTTATGTACAAAGTTGGAAAAACACTAAATTTAAGTATAAAATATTCTTCATAATATATAAAAATGTTTCAATAGTCTAAGTTTCCAATTTCTGCACATTTTATTAATATTTAAAAGATTTTATACTAAACACTTCTTCAGGGTTTTGCCACTACTGAAATAAGGCAATGGTGGTTGGGGAGAGGGGAGCAGGACTAATATGAAACCATCACCTTCTATACCAATTCAGTATTCTTCAAGGTGTTCAAAATTCATTAATATCTCAAGGGATATTGTTGATCATTGTTACCTTAGTCCCACTAGGCAGTATCAGAAATAACAATCTGAATAATTTAACAGAATTTCATTTAATAAGTATACATAAAGTTCATCTCTTCCAAAAACAGCATGTTAATTACATTCAAATTGTATTCATTTTAAATACCAACAAACCCATCATTTACATACAGGGATAAATATTAGAAAACAGATAAAAATTAAAACAAGTGTATTTCTTAAAAGTCCTTCCAAATTTAGAATACTGTGAATTGCTAAATATATACCTAAAAAATTTATACATTATGAGGAAAACACAAGTTGCTCTAATAGGGAAAAAACTGTAATAAACATACAGTGGAACATAATTCACATAGGCTCAATTTACAGGTATGTCTCAAAGTGCAAAACAAAAAAACTAATAACTATAAATACAGGCAAAAATCACAGCTGACATTAGATTCTTGTTTTTTGTCTTTTGGGGTTTTTTTTCTCATAACAATGACTTAAATGTTTCAGGAGAAGGGCTATCAATCCTGTTCTATTTAGAGCTCAGTAACCAATACATTTTTTCATTTCTCCCTGTACCTCCATTTTCCCTTCAAAAAGTTTCTAAGGATACTTTTAGAGATCAAACCAAATAATTCTGAGATGGCAAAGAAATAAGACTTGGCACTAACACAGGTTTACAAAAAAAAAAACCCATCATCCATTTATTAAACTGTAAATGCAAAGAAAGGAAAAGCATATCTGAAAATACAAGTTGGACAAAAAGTACTAAAAACAAAATTTAAGAAGGAATTTAGAATTCTTGTGGTACTTGCTGACTTTAGTTTTGAAGACATACAGCAACCAAGCTACCAATAACTATTGAGCATTTTTTTTTAAACTTGTATAAACTTGTTTAAATGTTTAACTTGCCTAAATCAAGTTTCTGTGGTCAAAACAAAGAGGTCATAATTACTGTGCTCATATAAGAGATGCGTGAAGGTTGTTACATGGGAGGAAAGGATGAGGTATGGTAAACATTGGAGCTCTTTGCCTTTCTTCAGATTTTATTGCATTTCATAGTCACATAAAAAGAACATCCCCTCCTTTTTTCTTAATGTGTCTCAGAGCAAAAGTGGCAGAATGAATAGCCCTTAATCAGTACATACTATTTTCAAAAGGATATTTTTAGAATTTGGTTCATTGGTTGTTTTTTAATAATAAATCTTAAGAGTTGACTCCTAAAATGGTGCTTAGATGTACTAATATATTCAGGCCTTTCTTAAAAGTAAATAATTTACTTTGCATTAAAAAGTTACCAATAACAGCTGTAATTCAGTTTTAAAGAAAGATTTAATTTCAAATTAAGTTTGTTTAAAATAACTTCTATTGTGTCAAATAAATGAAACTACTATTATTTTACTCATTATAAACATTACATAATCATTCCTTATAATCACTATAAAAATGTAAATGATCTTTTTCCCTTATAAATGAAGATGGTGGTTCTGAAGCAACACTCTAAATCAGAAAAGCCCATTCACAATACACAACCCCAATCTCAGTTTTTAGAAGTCAGTGCATTTAGTGGTCATATAATAGGCATGATGTTCTTCTGCGGCTAAGAGTTCTGGAAAGGTTTAAAAAAAAAAGGAAGAATTAAAAGATAAATAATATGAAAAGTATCCTAATAATCACAAATATTGCCAGTACTCAAAGTCAAGTATGATATAACCTGAATGTCAATCAGTTGTGTTTTTTTCTCCCAGTGGAAGGCGTTCCCATAACTGGAGCAACTGTTCACCAACTTGAGGTTCTAGTTCCTAGATAAATCGAAAGTCAAAATAAACATAAAAAGAACTGTATTGAATTTTTTTTTAATCACCTAAACTTATAATGATAAAATATAAGAAAATCACTTTAAATTTCATTTCTACCAGAACATGCTAAAATCATATGGTATGCATTGTTCTAATTCTTTAAGATTTATGGAGTTTACTTCCAGACTTAAGGTTGTACCTAATCTGAAAATATCTCAGTTTTTGTGACAAAATGGCAACATGAAGTCCTTCTGGAACTTTTTCTATCCAGAAATAATGGATTTTGTTTTTAATGGAGATTTAGCAAAATCACTCAGCTTCAACTTCCAAAGATTTACTGTGAAACCTAGCCTATTAGATGTTTTGGAGTTTTTTCAAGAAATAGGTGATTATACAATCTTATCTTAGAAAATATTTAAATTAAATTTATTTCAAAATCATTATTATAGAATAAATGTGAAAATATTCATATAAAATTGAAAAGAATGCCACTTTATAGTCCTCCTGTGGTATTATACATCTGATGAGTATTTAAAAAGAACTCAAACAATTTTCACATAGTGATTTGAAGTGAGGCACACTGGTTCGAATAAATTATTAGCTGTGTGACCTTAAGCAAAAGTAATCTCTGAATCTATTTTTTCCTACATATAGTGGATTAATAACATATTTTATTCATACAAACTAAATTATATCATATAAAGCAGCTAGCACAGTATTTGGTCAATATATATATATATATTTTTTTGTCTTTTTCCGTGTCCGGCAACGGATCGCAACCCTCAGTGTTGCCCCCGTACCGGACCGGGGACCGGCAACGGGATTGCAACTCTCGGTGTTGCTCCCGCGCCTCGCTCAGCCAGTGAGCGGGAACCGGTCTGTATGTGGGATCCGAACCCTCGGGCGGGAGCGCTGCCGCGCTTCCCAAGCGGCGTACTTATCCGGTGCGCCACCGGGCCGGCCCCTGGTCAATATATATTTAATTCCCATTACCTTAATAGTTTAAAATTCGTATAAACAGCATCATGAAGGCAAAGCAAAACATTATAGAAACAAAGCAAGCCACTAGCATATAAAAAAGTTATCTACTTTACATATTAGTTAAAGCCATAAAGGAGCTGAATACTGTTGGCATCTTGAAACTTTAGTCAAATTACCTCAGAATTGCATTCAGTTTTGATCATGTTTAGTAAAATAACATGAAGTGATTTATAAAATATTTTATATATGCAATGACAGAGAAAAGCCAAATTTACAAAATGCTAAAAAAGCAATGAGCTGTCATACACATTTACAAGTAGGTTTTTACTAGCTCTTTTACAAATCTCAACCACTTTCCCATATGAACATGGAGTATACAATTTTTTTCTTACATTTTATTCCCCTCAAACAAAGCACTGAATAACAGCAAAACAAAACAGAAACAAAAGTAAAAGACAAAATTTTAAAGGCCATTTATACCTGCCCATCTCTGCTTATCTGGACCTTCTTGTTGTCATTCCAAGGATTGAGTAAATGGTGGGCAAACTGAAAGGGAAGACTTTCTTTTCGTATCCATTCCACTTTAAATACTCCTCCAAGTCCAGCTGAGCCCCAGTCCTGGCTCTTCTCCCTTCCTATCTCAGAAGACATCTTAGAAAATCCCTGTAGATAAAAATAGGAGGAAGGATTAGGCAAGGATGATATTAAAATGTCTAAATTCAACTTATCTGATAAGACTGAGCTTTTTCAATTTAAGGTAAAGAATATAAAAATAATAGACACCTAACAAAACAAAAAATAAGCTACTTACTAAGTTTTTTTACAAAAATATTTATTAGCAAATTTAGAGGAAAGACCAATTCTAGCCTTCTAACATAATCTCAAATATTAACAGATGGTTTCTAAACAATGTATCAACAGATCTAAGTCCATATTATTCCACAATAAGTGAATATGATCTAACCTCTAAGCTTTTATTCCAAAACTTATAATAAATATTAAATAATAAATTCATTGGTTTGCAAATTCATATAAATATTAAGTCAAGATGAGTTAAGAAACATACTTAAGTTTCTTGATTGTCAATACTAACTTCTTCCACCTATTTAAATAAGCTTTTTACCAAAAGGTCAAGCTTCTCATTACTTTTAATCCACCTGAGAATTAGTAAATCTAACGTTGTCTTCAGAAGGAAAACTGTTTATCTGGAAAGGCTCTGGTAAGACAAGGCAAAAACAAAGGGATCCCAGTACTATCATTCCCTTGAAGAGATGCAATATATTCCTCATTCTCAATCAAGCAAAAAAGGCATTCTTGCATTCTGATGCAATAAAAAGCCAGGTTTGTTTTTTGGTTTTTGTTTTCTTTAATCTCTATCATCTAACCTACACCAGAACAACCCCATTTTACTGTTTCAGGATGGCTCACCTGGAAATGTCCAGATCCTTGAACAGAAAATACCAAGTAAACCATGCTGCTTTCCCAAAAGGCTCGATTTAGCTTCCGCTCATTACTAGGGGTTGTAGACCAGATTCCCTTCTGTTGAGAAATTTCAAGGTTCCTCAAATTGCTACTCTTCATTATGAAGTATCGAATAGGCATGTTTGGTCTTGGTGAAGGAGATTTTGAGCCCTAAAAAAGGATGCATAATTCTTGAAAGTTAATTTGACCTTTCAAAACCAATAGGTGCCATTAAATAACATCTTCATATGCACATAAACCAAAATATTTTGCCAAGTATTCAACAAGTGCAAATAGCTTTAACATGCCTGAACACCTATATAAGACTCAAATAAAATGAAGTTAAAGAGCCAAAATAAGTACTCATTTTCAGAGCATTCAAAATCCCTTATCAAGAAAGACTCCTGGATTACCCTTTAATTTGTACTTTCAGAAACTGTTTTAATAAACTTTCAAAAGTTGAAAACAAAACAAAAATTGCTCCAGCTTACTGCCTGGAGACAGTTTCTAGGTGACCAAGGGAAAGAGTCCAGTGGTCTTACTGAATTGCACAGAGATTGGAGTTTGGAGGCCAAGGTGGCTGATATTTGCATGGAAAAGCACTAGACAGAAGGGAGTTGCATAAAAAGAGAGGTCCAGAGGAACTGCAGAAGGCCCCCACAGTTTTTGGAGTACTGACCTGAACACAAGTGAAAAAAAATGACTGCTTAAAAGAAAACCTCAAAAGGATTAAACTGATTGCAACTAAACTGTGTATCGGAACAAAGTCTAACACTACTTAAAGGAATGCAAAAAAAATCTAGCAGCCAAACAACATTACAAAAGACACAAAAAAAGAGGAGATTATGATCAATAGAAACAGATTCAGACATGACAGAGATGATGGAAATAGGAAACAGGAATATTAAAGCAGCTATTAAAATACTTCACTATGTTCAAGAAAGTAGAGGAAAACATGAACATAATGAGAGGAAAAATGGAAGATATTTTTTAAATACCCAAAGGGAACTTTTAGAGATGAAAATATTATATTTGAAAACACATTTGAAGGAATGAACAGATTAGACACTAAAAATAAAAATATTAGTTAACATAAACATGTAGCAATAGAAACTATTCAAAATGAAACAGAAAAACTGAAAAAAATGAAGGGAGTATCAGTGACCTATGGAATAATATCAAATGGTCTTACATTTATGTATACAGAGTCCCAGAAAGGAGTAAAGAAAGAAGAGATATAAAAAATATGTGAAGAAATAATAGCCTTAAATTTTCTAAAATTGATGGAAACTATAAATAGACAGATTGAAGAAACATAAAGAGAACAAGACCAAGTCATATCAAAATCAATTTGCTGAAAATCAGTGGCAAAAAGAAAATCTTAAAAGCACCTAGAGTAGAAAAGATATTGTACACAGAGAAACAAAGATACAAATGACAGCAAACTTCTCATCAGAAACTATGTAAACCAGAAGACAATGGAGTGACTTCTCTACAGTAATAAAAGAAAACCACTGTCATCCTAAAATTCTATACACTGTAAAAATGTCTTCAAAAAAAAAAAGGTGAAAAAAACTTTTCAGATAAAAGCTGAAAGAATTAATTTCCAGCAGATCTGCATTAGAAGAAATGTTAAACTACTGTCTTCAGGCAGAAGTAAATGATATAAGATGGAAATTCGTATTAATACAAAAGAATAAAAAGCAGAGGATTGGTAAATATGTGCATAAATATGAAAGTCATTTTTCTGACTTTTAAATTGTGATAAAAATAACTGACTATGTAAAGTAAAAGTAATACATTGTAGCATTTATAACATATATAAAGAAAAAATGTATAAAAACAATAATACAAAGGACTGAAGTGTAAAATAAAAATACTGTCACAAGGTTTCAAACTATACCTGAAATGGCATAACATCAACTCAAGATGCACAAAGTAAGTTAAAAATGGCTTCACTAGTGAATTCTATCAAAGATTTAAGAAAAAACAATACCAATTCTACCCATCTCTTCCAAAATATTGAAATGGAAGGAACACTTCCCAACTAATTTTATGAGGCCAGTATTACCCTGATACCAAAACCATACAAAGATAACACAAGAAAAGAGAACTACGGAATAATATCCCTCATCAATAAAGATCCCTCATTTAAAAAAAATTTGATTTAACAAAATCAGATCCAGCAATATATAAAAAGAATAATAACATCATGACCAAGTGAGGCATACACATTAAAAAATCAGTCAATGAAATCTACCATATTAATAGATCCAAAAAAGGAGAACTGTGTTATCATTTCAACAAATGTTGCAAGGGGCTGGCTGGTTAGTTCAGTTGTTAGGGCACAGCCTTGTAACACAAAAGTCACAGGTTTAGATCCCCATACTGGCCAGCCACCAGAAAAGAAAAGAAAAAAACAGTGAACATAATTCAACACTTATTCATAATAAAAACTCTTGGCAAACTAGATCGAAAAGGAAACATCCTACAGTTGCATCATGCTAAATGGTGAAAGACAATGCTTCCTTCCTAAGATCAACATAAACATGTCTGCTCTCAGCACTTTCATTCAATATTTTACTGGAGGCTCTAGCTGGAGAGATAAGGCAAAAAAGAAATAAACATCAATCAGATTGGAAAGGAAAAAGTAAAACTATATTAATAGATGGCATGACTATCCTTGTAGAAAATCCTGAGACATCTACATAAAAACTAATAGAATTAATAAATGAAGTAAGTAAGGTCATGGGGTACAGCGCAAATACACACAAATCAAATGTATTTCTATATACCAGTAATGAACAACTGGAAATTGAAACTTTAAAAAACAATAGTATCAAAAATATAAAATACATAGGGATAAATTTAACAAAATATATATAATACCTATACTCTGAGATCTACAAAACATTCTTGAGAAACATTTAAAAACAGCTAAATAAATGGACAGATATACTATACTTATGGATTAGAAGACTAAAAATTATTAATTGCCAATTTTCTTCAAATTGATAAAATACATAGGGATAAATTTAACAAAATATATATAATACCTATACTCTGAGATCTACAAAACATTCTTGAGAAACATTTAAAAACAGCTAAATAAATGGACAGATATACTATACTTATGGATTAGAAGACTAAAAATTATTAATTGCCAATTTTCTTCAAATTGATCTATATATTCAATGCAATCCCAACTCAAAATACAAAAAAAAAAAAAAAAAACTGTAAAAATTGAGTAAGTGACTCTAAGGTTTACATGAAAGCACACAGGACCTAGAATAGCCAAAACAATTTTGAAAAAGATGAACAAGTTTGGAAGACAAACATTACTAATTTCAAGACCTACTATAAAACTACTATAATCAAATCAGTCTGTCATTGGCAAAAGGAGAAATATACAGATCAACAGGACTGAATAGAACCCAATAAATAGACAAGCTATTTATGGTCAATTGATTTTTGACAAAGATGCCAAAGTAATTCAATATATAAAAGATAATCTTTTCAACAAATGGTACTAGAACAATTTTATAGGCAAAAGCCAAAAAATGATCCTTGACCCACCCATATTATAAGCAAAATTAACTTGAAATAGATAAAACTTCTAGAAGAAAATCTTTGTGATCGGGGGTTAGACAAAAATTTCTTAGGACACAAAAACATGAACCATAACAGAAAAAAACTGATGAAATGGACTCCATCAAAATTAAAACATTTGTTCTTAGAAAAACACTATTAAGAAAATGAAAAAGCCACAGATTGTTAGAAAAAATTTGCAAAATATATACAATTAAGCCTTATACCCAGAATATACAGGAAACTCATAACTTAATTTTTAAAAAAGATAAATAACCAATAAACAACAAAAAAAAGTGAAGAAAATTCGAGCAGATATTTCACCATAGACTATACACAAATGGCAAATAAGCACATGAAAAGATGTTCAACATCACTAGTCATCAGGGAAATGCAAATTAAAACTACAACAGGCTATCACTATATATCCAGCAGAACAGCTAAAATTGCAAAGACCAATAATGCCAAGTATTGTCAAGAATATGGAGCAAATGTAATTCTTATAGATTGTTGAAGGAAATGCAAAACAGTACAGCCATTCCGGAAAACAGCGGGGTAGTATCTTGTAAAGTTTACCCTACAACCCAACAATCCTACTCCTAGGTATTTACTCAAGAATAGAAAACATGTTTATACACAAAGAATTGTACTTGAATGTTATAGCAACTTTATTCATAATAACCAAAAAGTGGAAACAACCCAAACATCCATCAACTGGTGAATGGATAAACTGTACTATATCCATACAATGGAATACTACTCAGCAATAAAAGTAATAAAACTAATAATAGACTCAACAATGTGGATGAATTTCAAAAGCATTTTTTTAAGTGAATTAAGCCAGACACAAAAAAAACTACATACGTATGATTCCATTTACAGGAAATTCTAAAAAAGGCAAAACTCTAGGGATAGAGAGCAGATCAGTGCTTACCAGAGGTTAGGGGTAATGAAAATATTCTGGATGTGACTGTGATACAGTTACACAACTGCATACATTTACAATTCAAAATTTACTGAATTGTACAGTTTAAATTAGTGAATTTTGTGTACAAATTATACCTTAACAAAGGTATTTAAAAATAAACCAAAAAACTCAAAACCTAAGGAAGCAATTCACAAAAAGATTTTCCTCTTATTTAACAAGAGTATTTCAGCAGACATTTTCACCAAAACACAATATATACCTACATAACCCCTAATCAAATACTTACTCAGCTACTAAAAACTCAGGAAAGTAAAAGGAATCACATTCAAAATAATTGAATTCATTCATATTACAAATTTTTTTTTTTTTTTTTAAATTTTTATTTTGTCAATATACACTGTATATGATTATTATGGCCCATCACCGACACCTCCCTCCCTCCTCCCTCTCTCCCCTCCCCCCCAAGAATGTCTTTTCCGTTTGCTTGTTGTAGTAACTTCATGAAAGTATAGTTGTTATATCTTCTTCCCC